TTTCAATTCCCCAGCAAGCTTTCAATTCTCAAACGATTTTTAAAAACTCCTTGCAGAGATTCATAGAGCCATGTAAGCACACAACTTGCAACTCTGAAAATTTTCTGCTTTAGTCCTTGCATTACAAATAACTTGCTTTTTTTTTTTCTTCTGGAGTTTCTTACAGTCTTTATCTGACTATTTTTAAGGAGCTACAACAAGTTCCTGAYATCATTTAAATAAAACTGGTCATGGGGAATTTAGGGTTCTAACTAACAGGGCAAGATCTATGCACAGCAAGTAGCTTGCAAAACACAAAACAGAAATACAAATGTTGTTTTCTGTTTTGCATTATATTCTTGTTAGACAAGAAGTTCAGTTTGCAGATATAGGTGGGGAAAGCCAGAACTACAGAACAAGCCCTTGGTTATCAGCAGCAAACACTGTAGGAAACTGTGAAATAAAATTTACCACTTACAGAAGATGTCTAAAAATGTGTAAGTCTTATACAATCCCTGATCAGACAAAGCATTTAAAACACTTTTATTTAAACATGATTTTATGATTAATTATAGCTGGAGCACAGTCTTATAACTGAAGACTAAAAGTCATATAAAAATAAAAGAAAAAGTGAGGAAAATCTTTTGAGAAGAGGCACTAAGATGTGGCAACAAATTACTGAAGCCACGTAGGTTGGAAGCAGAAAATAATAACTGAGATGGTAAAAAAAAAGAATAGACCAGAAAGAGATACAAGCCAACAACTCACTACCCAAAATTCAAGGCCAGAGAAACAATGGTATCAAAACCTACAGATTCCCATCACCTACGGAATACAAGGGGCAAGACATCACTGGCTAGCTGAAGGGGAAAAAAAAAATAGATGCAATTAGTCAGAATTCACTTTCAGTGACAGGGTAACAAAACTCTACTGCCTTTGACTCAGAGGACCATATCATATATTTAGTACTCAGAAATTTTAGGAACTCTACAGATGGAAACCAATAGGTGGATCCATGTTTTTCCTTACAGCCCCATATAGACACAATATTAAAAATATKAAACACGTTGAAAGGCTCTGTGCATGTCTTATACCACAAAATACCTCTTTTCAGCTGTATAGAAGCACATGAATCTCTAAAAGTACAAGTAAAATGTGATATGAATGGTCTCTGAAACAATTCAGTTCCTGGTCAGGTAGAAATCCTCTTATTTTACAGAGATTTTTTTTTCCCCTTCTGGGACAGTAGACCCCTCTSCTTTTCCTCTTACATATCCATATGTTCCCTAAAGTTCTATGAGTCTGTTGTCCTGATTTGGCAGAGAAACAAGTAGAATCAATGCAGTTCCTGCAGTGAAAAAGTCCTGAATTTCTCTTGCTTCTATTTCAAGTCCCAACTTTCAAATTTTGACAAACATTATCTAAATGGCAATTAATACCAAATACAAACAATTTTTTTTTCCTTCTATTTCCATGAGGGCTTTTGCATGTTTTCAATCAGCACTTCTTTCCCAACTGGGCAAGCAGTAACATACTCGAGAGTTGTGAAAGAGAGCAGTGTGCCTTCATGGATTCTCCTAGAGTTCTGGATGTAGCCTTAGCTGCTGAAGCTACTATTAGGATAGCAAGCTATTTTAAACATTTCTTGAAATCGTGGAACATTTTGGGTTAGAAGGRTCTTAAAAGATCATCTGGTTCCATCCCTGCCATGGGCAGGGACATCTTYCACAGACCATGTTRCTCGAAGCCCCATCACACTTCTTTTGATGCAGCCCAGGATACAATTGGTTTTATGGGCTGCTAGTGCATGTTGTTGACTCGTATTCAGGATTAGGCTTTCCTTCAGTTCGTTTTCTTAATTTTATTTTGGTTTTACTTTGTTGCTGTTCCTGGGTTGGGTGGGTTTTGGGGGAGCGGGGGGAGTAGGTGGTGACAATTGTGGTAGGTTTTTTAAGCTAATTTCCATAAAAGATGTATTTTTTTTTTAATTCTAATTATACTGTATCTCTCACAATTGCAGCCCTGAGCTGAACATATAATCCAAGAAGCCAAAACGGCATCCTATTTCACTTTTTGTTATGAGTACTCTCTCTTTAATTKAATGACTTCAGATTCAGCACTGTCTTAATTTTAATTTACCATCCAATATGGAAAGTATAAAAAAAACCTTGCCTASAGTGAAAAAAGCCTGTGCAAACTACAATTCTAGCTCACAGAAACAAGAAGGCCAATGAACTTTCATTACAGTGGACAAAGGGCAAAGGCAGAAGAGAAAGGTATGTTTTATTCCAGATGGAAAAACCAGTGTGAAAGCTCACCAGAAATATGGAAAAACAATACCAATATAAAGATGAGGASAGAGTATTGACATTTTCCCAAAGCTACACCAAAAATAGCTATTTCAGAATGGGGCTATGTGCATCTCTAAGGAATACACACAAATTTCACATGGTATAGTGAGCTGGGCCTCACTAATGAAAACAGATAATTTTTATGGTTCTATAAAGGTGCTTTACATAGGAATACAGATTTAGGAGAGTAATTAAAATACTCCTTTCCACTATTCCACTAAATCTATTTCCACTTGTTTTCTAAGAAACAAAATCTTCCTGTAAGTTCCTAACTCACTGAAACAGAAAATAAAGTTTCTGTAACAATAATTCGTGTTTTTCCTCAGTATAGTACATAGTTTTAAATACTGTGTCCACAGCAGTCAAGATGTCAATTAGAGACAGCAGGTCTGACTGTGTTAGAAAACCATTAACACGGTGATTCAGTACTCTAGAGACTCCAGTATAAAGYGTGATTTCCCATAAAATCTAAGGAAGCTGTAAACAACAATCCACGCAGCACAGAGATTTGTTTTAAGGCCCCAGTTTCAAGTTCCTTACACAGCTAAGGTAACTGTTGACTCCAACACTTGGAATCTGTTTGCATGTTTATGGTACACTTTTCCTATGGAGACAGATATTCTTGCTTGGGGACGAACCTGGTTTTACTTCTGAAAAATTATGACCTTAACATGAAGCAAGATGTGTTTATGGTCCTACACAGAATTAACCCAGCTGGATTGGTTTTACCTTTTCCCTGTGACAGGACACAGCAGCACACACTTTCAAGTTAATTCAAGCCCCTCTCACAAAAAGCAGGAACTGTAAACCTAGGACAGTCATACATCCTAACCTTGGATACAGGAACAATAAAGAATTAATATTTGAATCTTGTTTTTTTTGAAAATACCCTWAATCCTTTTAAATTCCCTATAGGATTCTTATGACTCCTTACTCTAACCCAGAGAAACTACTTAATCTCATAAAAAATGCATTTTTTTGGAAACACTATTATATGTAGTGGGTTTTGTTGGTTTTTTTTCTAATAATCAAGAAAATCATTTTGTACAGCTCCTGAACTCTATTTATCTAGTCCATGTGTGTTGTCTCTGCTGAATTCTTACGGTAAAAACATCTTTTCTTATTTTCAGTTCCAGCCTTTTCTGTGCCTTCACCTTTCTGACTACYGACAAATTCAGTTTGCCCATTTCTTACAGTGGCTTTATCTGAAATATCCCTCATCTCTACAAAAAAGGATTCTTTCTCAAAATAGAAACAAACAAAAAAAATAGGAGCTTTATATTTTATTGTGATTGAGGGAGAGTATTTATTTATTTTTGAATTTCACTATWGAGAATTGCCTACTGAGTCGAGGTCTTTGTCAAAACATAATGCTTGCTATATGGGAATTTTCCAAATCACTTTGTGTGCTGAGACACAGGGCAGAGTTCTTGTAGGGTACTTTTGTTCACATAGCATGGCAGAGATTTGCTGCACACCTGACTTGCAGGCAATTTGCTTTTCTAGAAGTCACCAGCCCATAAAATTCAGGTTCTCTGCTGCCGTTACCTCTAAGTGCATTATTCCTGCTCCACATTTCCAGTTGCCAGCATAGACTCAAGCTATTTTGCACATTTTTGTACTGGTAAATATATCTGGGCCACCATGGGCYCAGATCAACCTTTGGCCACCCACAGCACCTGCTCCCTTGGCTCTGCTTGCAAACAGTTCTCTACTACTCTAAGTCTTAACTAACCCACTGCCCTTAGCACATCTCTTTAAAATTTCTTCCAGCAGAGAATATATTGATATGGTTCTGCTGTGACTGAGTTTAATGGCATTACCAAAATATCTTCTGGAAGACTGAGGTAGGGAAAGGTAGAGAAATACCAAATTACTGATGAAAAAAGGCATCATATTTTGAGATTGTATGTCAACAACCAGTTAATTATAAYTAAAGAATCACTGCCTGACCTGAGGAAAGAAGACTAAGGAAAAGACTGATGTTTAAATCCTTTTTATTTCTGATTTTATTCCTGATTTCACCCACCTTCCTCCTTCTCCCCCTGAACAAAAACAAAATAAACTGAGTAGTGCCACATAAAGACTGTAGTTTAATGTATTTTTTCCTTTTCATAGAACCTCTATTATGCTAGAAGCAAAACTGCACTACACAGAGACAGCTACTAGATAGACTTCGTTAAAACCTGTTAATTAGCAGGGTCATCCGTATCTCCACTCCCAACAGGGCAGCACAGACTGGAGATTATACCACAAACTGCATCATTAGCATACCTAAGCCAGAACAAATTCATCCACGTTAAAGAAATTTATATTTATGGTTTTCAGCAGTCTTCACAGAGCACAGTGAGCTCCAGTCACTTCTAACCTTACCAAGAACCAGTCCAGGAACTGCAGTCACATTTCTACTGCAAACATGGTCATCCATTTAAAAMGATAGCTGCAGCAACACTACTATGATTTACCTGACTTCAGGTACACAAGTTTACAAATGCCTCGAGAAATGTATCTGGAATTTCCATATTCATTCTTCAAATTTTTTAGGAATATTACCTAATACTAAGTTTGAACATGAGCTTTTAAGAATCTTCAGCACCCCAAAGGAGAGTGCAGCTGCAGTCTCAGAAGCATTTAATCCCTCAAATTTGSATGATGGATTGCACCACTTACCGCTGAACTGGTAAGGAGAGGGAATCTAAGTGGTCTTCRCCCTTAAAAGCCATATTTATCCTATTCTTATGTGCACTTCTCCATAGGCTGGAATCTAGAAAGAAAAAAAAGAAGTCATTTAGTAAACTTAGGGAAACTCAGGTATCTTCAGCCCATGCTGGCATGGCATTGTCTTGCTCTTCTGTGGAGGGAACTCATTAAAATGATTTAAAAGGCTTCTTTTCCACAGGCACCCCACAACTCCAGCAGATAACCAAGGCCATTAAGAACATTTCACAGCAACACAAAGTTTACATATTCCTGAAGATCTTGGATTACTGCACAGGTCAGAGCTCTCTGGGTTGAACATTTCTGAGTTAATATTGAAGTGTTATTTAATCTCATTTATTTTATTTTATTTTATTATATCATTTACTTGAATGCTAGAGAAAATTTATTTAATATTATAGTAATTCTTCATGTGATTGTGAGAAAGATCGCAAGTGAGATCCCTTCCAACCTTAATTATTTGGTGATAAAATTTCAGGATTGTTTAATACTTCTTTTWTGGAAAGGACCTTGATGTCTAAGTTACTAAAGTATTAGGCCCTTCCTTGTTAAACATTATTAATTTTTATCCATTTTAAATGCTGCACACATCTTTCTCCTGCATGTTTTCCCTTTATTCCTAGTGCACAAGAATGTATCCAAACATTGTTTTAGGAAGAGACAAGAGAGGAGAAGAAAGACTCCTCATTTTTACAAAAAGAAGGGGTGCTGCCTCCTTCCCGATTTTTTAATTAACCTCACCTCACATTAGTGTATGACCTACTACAGGTCAATGCATATTAACAGCAACATTCATAGAGGATTTATTCTACCAAAAAGGTGAAGTTATTTCACTCACACACATGGCTGGAAGAAAAGTAAGGCAAAATATTTCAAGGTAAATATTAATCCATGACTCAGGAAGAACAAGGAGGAAATGAATTAATTTGAATGAGGAGACAGGAACAGCAGGAAAATTATGCTTTCTTAGATGTGAAGAAAAAACTGGGGCAAATGGATCTCACTCCTAGAGAAAAACACTTTACACAGGAAATTACTGTTGTTTGTGTCACCAGCTGAGGCAGAATGCTTTTGATGGAGCTGCTTGGGAAATTCTGCTATTGGCTGCATTGTGCAAKCTGAGTCAGTCAAGATATTTGCCACCCCAAATTGCTCTTAATTGACACAGAGTGGTCCTCAGTGCCTTTCCTAGCAAACTGATCTCATTACTAATGCATGTCCTTGTTTTTTTCCTCAAGATGTTACAAACATGTCCTGAGTACATAAAAGTATTACAACCAATGCAATGGGTTCACATGCTCTGTCCCCTGTTAGCACCAGATTGCTTTGGTGRTGGTGTCATCCTGTGTTCCTCCCTRCCCCCCTGGTTTTCCTGGAAATAACAAACTTAATGTAATCCTTCTTTAAATGCATGGACTGAGAAGATTGAAATGTGGGAGAAGAATCTGTTAAATAAAACAAAATCAACACATTAAAATATAGACAGGGTAATTTTTACTGAATTCTCTGGTTTAAAAAGATTGCAGCTATTTCATAAGCTTTGACTGAAAGATCATAAGCCCAAGTATGAAAATATGAGTAAATACTCCTCTGCTCCTGCGACACATCAAGGTTTGAAAAACAAGTTTATTCGGAGATGGGTGTGTGTTTAAAGCATTTAATGTACGATATAAAAATTTCACTAACAAATGGAATAAATTAGCTATCTTCATTTCCAATTGTGTATTTTTTGGTCTTTTTCAAAGACATTTAAGGTTACCAGATGCAAATACTTGTACAATCATATTTACAGCCAAACATCATGACTATCACTGTCTTAATTTAGAGAAGATATCTGCTGAAGACATTTGCATAAAATCTAAATCTCCAGGGTGAAGTTTCCCTTCCTCAATCTTATCATTTAAAGGACCCCAAAAAATAATGTTTCAGTCTGCAAAAGTACAGATTTCATGAACAGGTATTTCTCCYTGCTCAGCATCAGACCTGGACTTACCTTCTTATGTTACCAGCACTAAATCAACAGCTTTTCTCTGGCAAGCTAAGGCTMCTTCACCATTAGCTCAGCCTACTACCAATTTCTACACATACAAATCAAAGCACCTGCTGGGACTCCATTACTTGTGATCAGTGACATAATGTACACAGACATAAATTAGATTACTGCATGTCCTTGCTCCACATAAATTAGAAACCTGACAAAAATGCAAGTTTTTATATGCTGTCTTCCCACAAAACACACTTTTATATTATGTCTGAGAGCTTTTAAAGACATTATCAACTCCTACTTAGAGGTTACTTATGCTCCAGGAACAATAACAAAATGCCACAACAATATCTTAACCAAACTGTCTGGCTCGAGACTGTTATTAGATATTCACTCAAATATTTAATCTGAAATTAATGTTGGCAACATGAGGAAATGCTCTCCCCAAGCACCTGGCACTCTGCCAGAGGATCCACTGTACCCCCAGGACCACAAGAGAGGTTGGAAAAGCAGTGATTTATAATTCAGGCTTCTGGTCCTGCTTAGAATGGCTCCTCCACATGCTGGGCAATTACAGAGCACCCTGGCAGATGTTGTTCAGCTTCCAGTGTTCTCATTTCTTTTTCCGGGTAAGATCAAGATCATTGCACTTCCTAGTATAGACTAGGACAGAGCTGAGGAATCCTTCTGTTTAGCTGATTCYGCTTTTTATCTGAGCCCACAACACAGTGCTGAGCTCTAGCCAGCTCTCCTAAAAGGAAAGCACCCTATTCCAKCTGTCTATGGAGATGTTAAACATGTACTCATTAACTTTTATTAAGCTKATACATAAAAATTCAGTAGAGTTCTGTAGGAGTTTAATATTTCTTCCCACTGWCCTAAGTAGCCACTGATTAGGCCCACAGCTGGCCAGAGATGCTGTCTAGGTAAATTTGTACATAAAACACAAACCAAACCAAAAAATCCCACTGTTGTAGTCTGCAATATTGAAAATTTTGGTTGAGGCCTGAAGAGCATGCTAAAGTAATAAAATTGTATTCTTGAACTGTTATAAGGCCTTTTATTTAGCACCTTATGTAGGGTTTTATATCTGCACACAGCCTTGTATCCCAGTGTAAACACTGATTTACAATTTGTTTGACCCCTCTGGTAGGTAGCAGTGTGTGTATGTGGAATGACATGTATTCAAGGCTGCAGACTCTGTGTCCTGCATTTCTCTCTTGTGATGTCAACACTGCATTAGATTTTGAGATGCTGTTTCCTCATGGAATAGATGTAGATAAGCCGAGCACAAACCACATTTCAGCCAAAAGCTTTTTCAGAGAACAGGACTTCAAAGAGAACAAAGCTTCACACCTAAAAGAGCATGTAAGCATTGCTGTCAGAAATGAGCAAAGTGTCAGAAAAGGACATGGCCTTCATGACCAAGAAACCCCAAAGCCACATGGGCAGGAAGAGGGATCTGGCTCCTAGACAGGGACCAGCCTTCGCCAGCAACTGACAGAGAACTAAGAAYAGCTTGAAAAAACTGTCAAAGAGCCCACCTGTAAATTAAAGGAGGAGAAGCCTCATCCCAGTTTACACCAGGCTTGGCAGCACCGGGGAAACCTGCRCAATGCCTCATTTGCAGAGTGATGCAGCTGGAAGCTGTTATACCACAGCAACAAATCCCTCCTGACTCACAATCCCCTGCTGGGAGCCTCCTCTCAGTTTAGAGATGGAGAACAGCTTCTACAGTCCTCCATGGCATTTTAGTACCCTACAAAACATGTTATTTCTGTCTGGAAAACAAATTGCATCTTGTAAAATCTCCCAGATTAAATTTCTTCTCCATCATTCGACGTGCTAGCTTATATTAAAAAAAAAATAAAACACCTAGAAATTAGGAGGACTTTAGCATAAGGTTTCTGCTAGAAACAACATCCACKGCCAAAATATCATGGTAACAGCACATTTTCCAGGTGAACTCAGTGTGACTCATTTCTTCTACAACTGATGGCCCTAAGGTTCTTTATMCCAAAATTGTCTTTAATAATTAAGYACTGAAACAATTAAATTCACATTTTTGAGTTCATTCATGCCACACATGCTCAGCCTTGCAAAAGCTCATATCAAAAGTCAAATCCATGAACTTTCACCATGCCCCTTCTAACCCCTAACATAATAATTTCAACACTATCAATGTCTTAAAATAAGGTAAATCAAAGAGCATCATTTCTCTTTCAGAAAGAGACAGAAATCCGCACATCTAGCCTCTGATTGTTAATAATCACTCAAATGAGAAGAGTATGTTACCTATAAGCAATATGGTTAACCTGAGAATAAGAAGTTATTAGCTAAAAGTCAGACTAGCTGWCACTTGATTAATATGAACAGTTCCTGTCTCTACTAAAGTACGTCTCTTTTCTGCCAAACAGTGCCTGCCCTTATTTTACAATTCTGGGAGTCTGGGAATCATTAGTTATTATTCTCTTATACACAGGATAACGGTTAATGGAATGTCACAAATCAAATTAAGAGCAAAATTCTGACAGCATTTATGTGAGAGGTCAGAAAGTAAATACATGCATTCTGTCCTTCAGCAACACATCCAGTCCATCAGAAGTTTTTCCACACTAACCGTTTAAGGACTCAAGATCCTGTGTCATTCCGTGTTATAAGAGGCTCATATAGACATGAATTAATTACAATAGAAAGAGCCAACTCAAAATTAAGCTGGGTGTCACAAATCTAAGAAACCATAAAACCTGGAACAAAAATAATGAAGAGCCCTTCAAATGATGCATTAAAAAGGGCTGTATCAGCACGGGATCATATACACAGATCTATGGACCACACTCCTGGAATGCAAAATTAAAACTAGGGGAGAGAGATGGAAAAGRCACTACCTATGACATTCATTCATGGCAGCTGCTCTTGCAGAACCAATAACCAGAGAGGAAGCACTGCTGAATAGTTTATGCCTTATACTTCAAATTCAATCTGAAGTATAAATCCATTTTCAGTCACAGAATTGCATATTTCTTCCCCTCTTTTCTCTCTGCTTTCTACAGAGAGAGGAT